CTTCTGCCCGGCCCCTGCGCGCTTCGGGACCGCCCAGGACCGGCCTGTCCGTCCCCCTTTCCCTTCTTCCCTCCCACCCTTCCCCAGCTGTGCCTCCGACGCCCACTCGGGTGCGCGTAGCTCTGGGCGAGTCCTCCGTGGCGCGGCCAAGTGGGGAGTGGAGAGCCGGGAGACAGCCCTGCCCCGAGGGACACGCACGTCGAGAAGAAGGGAACTCCCAGGCCGGCGTGGCCGAGAGAGAGAGGAGGAGGGGTCGTGAAGGTCTGCGTACTTCTTGTCCGGGAGGCAGGAGACACTTGACCGTCGGAAAGCGCTGCCCCGGTAAGTCGAGGGTGACCCGTCGCTAAGAGCGGGGAGAAAGCCGGATTCGGTGGACCTTCCTGGGCTGTCCGATGCCGGGATCGGGGGAGGCGCTGGCCCCCTTTTGCCAATGTAACGGGTCTTCTCTGTCTGTCTGCTTCTCTCCCCACCCACCCCGTCTCTCTCTCTCTCACGGTTACGAAAAACAAACTCTGGCTTAAAAACAAAAAAACTCAAAGTCCCAACTTTTTCTCCATCTCCATCTGCTGGGAGTCGGTGCGTGAGAACAGGCTGCCCCTGGAAAAGTGTAAAAAAGTGGTGGAGAGAAAGCGCTCGGAAAGGTCACTGGGGTGATTTCAAGATCTGTAGGGTGGGCTGGGTATTTTGGAGCCGAGCCAGAGTCGCCTCCTCCTCCTGCGCAAAAGTTCTCTGTCGGTGACAGCTGTGAGGCTGGCACAGAATCAAGGGGTGAAGCTTTTACTTGGGAGAAGCCTCACCTGTTGAATTCCGGCCTGCCTCGCTGCTGGGGAAGAAACACACCGCTCTAAAAAACGTATCAAGAAGGAGCAAAAGGAAGCAGAAGCCACCCACCCCTGCAAAATAAAGGAGACAACCTTGTTGTCAACCTTTAAAGACTAAGGGCTCTCTTTGAATGTGAGCCTTCCTGTTGGTGGTTCGGAGTCAATCATGAAAATGCTCTGGAGGTGTTTCCAGAGTAGCCCTCTCCACTCTGGTTCAGGCCGGATTTGTGGACTATAGTGAGTGGAGGTCCCCAGGCAGCTTGGACTTGTTGGTTGGAGATGCTGGGAATTGTCCTCTCCATTCCGGAACAGTGACAGATTGGTGAAGACCGCTCAAGAGGGAAATGGTTTAAATCGGAGATGGAGGTTAACATGGCAACCACGTGAAAGACCAGCTGTTGATTAGAAATGTTTGCTTGACCTAAAAAGAAAAAACACAACATTATTTTTACTGTCTTATTAATAGCATTATGAAGAAGACCATTCCAGATTCAGATTGCTTGGAGTAAATAAACCCTGTGAGGCCATTTCTCATATACAGACTGTGCAATCTGGAAATGGCATATAACTGTTTCATGCCGTTGGCTGTCACAAGATGTGGAGAGAGTGTGACTGATTTAGACCGCATACAAGTTCAGGATCATGATGTGTGATCTCTTGAAAGGATGCTGGGAATCATGCCTGTAGGCTCTGAACCTCCACGTGGAGACCAAAGTTTGGCAAAAGTTAGTTTTGGGCTTTGATTCCCAGGAGGTATGGCTGGGGGATTATGGGGGTTGTAGTACACAGTCTCTTTGTCTCTCCCTCCAGAACCCGGTTCTGGTTCAGAGATCCTATGGAATGAGTGCCAGTTACTGGGAGAATAGCAGCGAGAGAGGATTAATGCCTTTGTGGCCTCTTTGTGGACTAGCTGCTGCATCTGCTGGGCAACCGGGGGAGAATAGATGCTGGAGTAAAGATGGACATCTAATCTGATCCGACAAAGCTGGCCTTGTGCGTTCTCTGGAAGCTAAAGATGCTCCCAGATTTTAAGTGTTCCTTAAATGAGAAAAATGAATAATTACGGGGCAGGGCTTTGAAAATGACTTGCTGTACTTTACTTCACCTTCCATGATCCCCAGGCAGCATAGGGGTTATAGGAATTGTAGTCCAAAACATTTAAAATATTGCTTTGAAAGAGGGAGAGGCAGGTTTTTGCGTGGCCAGTGCTGCACATGACATGAGCATGTCCCCTGCATTCCAGAATACTTTGTAACACATAAGGGAGTCCATGGCAGCTGAACCATAGAATGCCCTTCAAGCTGGCAAGCTGCGGAGGGGAAGTGTGAACTTTTCTTGAAGTCTGCAGATGTGAAAACTACGTTTGTATTAGATCCAGCAAGTGGAACTGCTGGAGTGCTCAGTGGCCGAGGTCTCTGGCTGTGGAGCCAAAGGTTGGGCATTCAGTTCCACATGTTCCCTCCTTGACAGGAGTTGTACTTGATGATTCATAGGGTCCCTTCCAGCTCTGCAGTTCTAAAACGAGGATGATCATAGATCTGGATTTGCTGGTTGGCTTTGAACAAGCAGCTATTTCTCTCCCTTCCGTTCTTCCATTGTGGCAGGGACTGTCGGCTCATGGGTTTAGCAAGGGGGAGATCCTCACCCTGCTTGGACCACCCACCATGCCTGGTAAAAAGGGGAACAACTGCATCTGCCATGGAAGGGGTTTTATCCTGTGCTTCCTTTTCACAGACTTGCCTTCTTATAAGGCCGGGCACTTTGGAAATTGCTGATTAGGTCTTGTTTCTCCTTCTTCGAACCTTTCCATCAGGGAGTTTGTTGTTATTGTTATGCGCTGTCAGTCAGGGCTGACTTATTGCTACCCTAACAGGGCTTTCAAAAGTGAGATGCTTAATGAGTGGTTTTACCCGTTCCAACTCTCCAGTGAGTTTTCATGGCTGAGCAAAGATTAAACCTTTCCATCAGGGAGTTTGTTGTTGTTATGTGCTCTCAAGTCAGGCCTGACTTATTGCTACCCTTAAAGGGCTTTCAAAAGTGAGATGTTTAATGAGTCGGTTTACCCGTTCCAACTCCCCAGTGAGTTTTCATGGCTGAGCAAAGATTTGAACCACAGTCCTGGTCTGTCACACTACCCACTACACCATACTGGGTATCCTAAAAATCATGTGTTGTCGAGTCAATATTTGACTTTTGGCGACCGTTTCCAAGATTTCCAGGTAGGGAATACTCAGAAGTGGTTTTCCATTCCCTTCTTCTGGAGGCATCCTGGGACAGGCCAGCTTGCCCAAGGCCTCCTAGGCTGGCTATTCTGGAGGCACAGTGGGCAACTGAATTCTCCATCTTTGACTCCATAGCCAGATACCTAAATTACTGAGCTTTCCAGCCATTGTCAGGAGGGTTAAAGGGGCTGTTCATGTTCTGCTACTTGATGGTGATGATTTCCTCTCCATCTTTGACTCCGTAGCCAGATACCTAAACCACTGAGCTTTCCAGCCATTGTCAGGAGGGTTAAAGGGGCTGTTCATGTTCTGCTACTTGATGGTGATGATTTCCTACTGCTTTAATATCTTAATGCTTTAATTTGTGTTTCATTTATTGCATGCTCTGGATAATCTTTGGAAACCGAAGAGCGAGGGCTATCGTCCGGCATGGAATAGCAGCTGCCGTGTTGGATTGAGACTTGGGTTTTTGATCGTCATGTCCCCAGTGAGCCATGACCTTGGCTCTTTCTCTCTGTAGCCCAGCCCCTCAGCCCTGCTTACTGTTATTTTGATGTGGGGGCTGCTGCTGTGAGGATTAAGCTGGCATGAGCATGTTGGATTGAGACTTGTTGATTGTCATGTCCCCAGTGAGCCATGACCTTGGCTGTATCTCTCTGTAGCCAAGCCCCTCAGCCCCTGCTTACTGTTGAGATTTTGATGCAGGGCTGCTGCTGTGAGGATTAAGCTGGCATGAGGGGGCGCCTTGTACGTCGTCTTAAAAGCTTGTTGGAATAAATATAATCATTATGGGCCATCAAGTCAATTCTGACTTATGCCAACCCTTTTTCAGGGTGTTCTGGGTAGACCAAAAAAAAAAAATTTAAATGGTTGACCATTCCCTTCTTTTGGGGACAACCTGGGATTGCACAGCTGGGCCAAGGTCTCACAAGCCGCCTCTTCTCCCCGAGGGGAACCACAGTGTGGAATTGACCTCCGAGCCTCTGGGCTCCCAGCCAGATCGCTAAACCACTCAGCTCTCCAGCCAGGATATAAAAGGAGAAAATAGTGGATAGTTGACAAGCAATATTAGCTGCAGTTTCCCATCACCAGAGAGTGTCCTGGTTGCCCCATTTATCATCTTGGTTATTATCTGGTTCCCTGGACTTTCCCAGCAAGGAATGAGAGACTGAGGCTGCGCTTTAATCTGAGCTAGAAACATTACTGTATTTTTCACTCCATAAGACGCACCTCTCCATAAGACACACCAAATTTTTAGGAGAAGAAAACAGGGAAAAATAATCTGTTTTCTTCACTCCATAAGACGCACAGACTTTCCACCCCCCTGTTTTGTGGAAAAAGTGCGTCTTATAGTGCGAAAAATACGGTATATATTTTGGACTACAACTCCCATTATCTCCTAGTCAGCCATGTCAAAAAATTTTACCGTTCTCCACCCTCTGCTTTCCACTGGTTGTGTGTGTCGTCTGGTTGTTATCTGCCTTCTTTGAGAAGGCTCTGTACTGGCATGAACCCCAGTAGAGCTGTGGGGCTGGATGCCATGGAGGATGAGTACAGGGAATATTTATAACTCCAGCATCCTGCCAGCCTTGGTATATTTAGACAGTGCTGTCCAAAAACAAGCTAGAGGATGGGGCTGCATGGAAGGGCTGCAGCTGAGCTTTTCTGCATTCTACCCAAGACTTCACGGGGGTTTGTTCTCCTAGTGAAAGCAACAGCAACAGCAAACCCATGCAAAGAGATGGGACCAATGGCCTGTCATTAATTCTTAAATCTTCTTGACTTCTCCAGTCTGACTGACGATAGTGCTGTGATCAGTTTTGAAGGACAGGTGCTCATCATGGCACGTGGTGTAGCCACACCTGTAAAATGAATCCAAAAAAGCAGGCAGCTGGATTGATCCACATCAATTAAAAAAAGCTTCTTGCAAGTATCATTTCTTTTTTCTGAGGGAAACTCTTTTGCAGAGCGAATGGGTCTTAACATTGGAGGAGAGCTTTACAGATATTCTGGATTAGCAGAAAACCGTATCAGTGGGTGCCAGATCAAATCAAATGTGAATTCTGTCCAGAAGTGAAAATTCCTAAACAGAGGCTGTTGTACTTGGAGCATATCATGCGAAAACAAGACTGGCTGAGAAGGCAATAATGCTAGGAAAAGCTGAAGGCAGCAGGAAAAGAGAAAGCCCCTAACATGGAATAGATTAACTCAATGAATGAAGTCACAGCCTTCAGTCTGAAGGCTTGAACAGTGCTAATTAATGACAAGACCTTTTGAA